AAGGGAAGACATGGGTTGCCACCAGGAAAAGCCGCTTTGCGGTTGCAGCGTGAGGAGGCATGCTGTTGCCAAAACAACGGCGGCCTGCCGAATAAGAAGCGAAAGCACGGAGTGGCAGAAAGCATTGAAGGGGTGGTCATGGGGCACAAAACCCCTGCCAGCCAGAGGGGCTAACACTCCCACCCGAACCTCCTCAGCCCCTACCACCCTGGCTTCCTCCAAACTAGCCCCATTTTTAACCTCAAAGTCACCCCGTAAGTGGTAGGTTGAAGGGAAACCACCCCTGTTTCTACTTTGATAGCCCCAAGAAACTGTCAAAATAATGACCCCAGCCCAAATACAGGACTGATTTACAAGAAGGGAAACCTCCGGGTTCGAGCCGAACCGCAGCCAGCGGCCGCGCCAACGTTGCACTTGCGGCCAGGCGGCTGACACGAAGAAGTTGTTCATGTCCAAATTGAGGAAAAAGACCTGCGGGAGCCGGAAAAACACCAGTTGTTTGCTTGCTTGTTTGCTTCGTCATGTTTGTTTGTTTGCTTGCTGGTGTGTCTTTGTAGGTTCAGAAGAACCGGAGGGCCGGATGCGTAGTCAAATTCGGACCCCGCGAAAGGGCTTTTGATTTCGCTCTTACAACCTGAAAAGGTACCGAGGCACACACACACACACACTCGCATTGATCTGCAAACGGGGTTGTTGGATTTCTGCCAAACGCCCTAAATCAGCTAAACCTATACCTGGAGGGTGGAAGAAACGCATGTGGCCATTCAAACTGCACAAACGAGTCCAATGGCAGTGCTGTCTGCATTGACACGTCACAAATGGGATGCATAGGTTGCAAATGATTAGGCCTCATGGATGAACCTACGCAAGGCTTGCGGATCTTCGTTGTCCCTTTCGGGCACCATCCGTAGGGCAAGTCACTCTCGGCATAAAGGGAAGCCCTTGGAAGGCCAACCGGCGATGTTTTGGAAGCCCAGGTACCGACTTTTGCTGCGGTTGCAGCTTGTTGGCCACAGCCATACCAGTATCTGTGGGCTTCTTTTTGGCTGCAAATTCGACGCATGTAAGATGAAGAAGCCTCTTGCGGTGAAAAAACAATGAAATTGGTGTGAAACGGAAACCACAAGCAAAACAAGCCACGGGAACCACAACTTTAATCACCCGCCCAATGGACTAATAGGAGACCCTTTATGGACGTCAAAATGCGCGTCCCGATGCATGAAACCACCAACCACCTTTGCCACTTAGGTGGTTCCAACCATTTAACAAGGTCTACAAGGGAGGCTCCAACGACCGTTTAGGGGAACCAACTTGTTGGGAAAAGGCAAACAGTCTAGGAGTACCTTCCCCATTCTTTTCAGGGATCCTTCTTTTCAGAAATTCTCCAGACACCCACGGAAAACAAACGATTTTTGGAAAGAACGATGGCTGAAAAGAATGGGGATTCAACCCCCAGAAACAGGAGGACCAAAGGCAGATGCCTCAAGGTGTTCTACCCTTGTGGTTTCATTGTGTTGAGAACGCGTGTCTACGCGCGTCTACCATTCCCTTTCCATCGCCCAAAGGTGAAATCTGGATTCCCCATTTGAGTCATTTTGAGAACCTGGTATTGAACTGGCCTACCGACAACGTAAAGAATTGGCAGGACGGCCGCTCTTCTTTGAGTGTACCCCGTTCTTGGGGTGTGTTTCGAGGGGAACTAAGGAAGAAAATGAGCTCTCACCATTTTGGGGGTTCCCGCCCCATTTTCGCACATACCCCATTAAGGGAACGGGATTCGCCGGCCAGCTTGGAGAGCTCGCCCCATCTTGATACACCAGTGGCTTGGGACTCCCTTAGCTTGCGAGTGGTTTCCACTCCCAGTTGCGATCCGTTCCACTCGTGTCCTGGGTGGGTTGGCCAAAAACAATGGCACACTTCTTGCTTGACCAAGAGGGTAAACAAAACCCAGGAAGTGGCTCAAGCCCAGGAGCTGGGGAAAGGAAAGCAAAGGGGGGAAACCGCCGTACTGGGCCTCTTTTCGAACAAGTGACTCATTTCCAGGAGCTCTGGAAGTGAGCCCAAACTTGCTGGTGCTCAGTAGGGAATGTGGGAATGAATCCAGGGGTCCCCTCAAAGGAAACCAGAAGGTAAAGGGATGGGCTTTTTCAGGGTCATTCCATTTCTCATTCCCTGCCTATCGCAGCAGCAAGAAAAATCAGCCAGTCGCCAGCCTTAGTCTACCCGAATCCATAGGTGGCCTTTTGGAAAAATAGATGGGATTCCCTGGTAAATGGGCAATAAACTCCATCTAAACCAGGAATCACCCTCTATTTTTTAAGCAAACCAACCAAAAAGGACACCCTTCACCACCTCAGGCGGCTTGTCGCCGTCACCCCTCCTTGTCCACTGGAGGCGGGGGCCAATGAGGGCACCAACCAAAAAGACACCTATGCCCGAATTTCACATTTTCATGGTGCCTGGAAGTAGTGGAGCAGCAGCTTCATCCCAGGCAAAGCCTCAGTTCAACGAGAAAGACGCTCTTGGTTGCAACTGCCCGGCTTCCAAGTGGGAGGTTCTTTGTTTCTTCCTTCCTTCCTTCCTTCCTTCCTTCCTTCCTTCCTTCCGATTTCTGGGAGGGGGCCGGAGGGGGTTCCGGGGCTGTTGGAGATACCACCTGGGCTTCTTTGGCGGGTAGCCTTTTCGGGCCCGGCTTAAATAAAGGGAAAAGAAGCAAAGGGAAACCAACCCTTTTGAGAGCGCCCCTTGGACACACACCCAAATGGATGTGTGATCTTTGCGGGTGCCCTAAAGCAGATCTTGTGATGTTCTGAAAGCTGAAATGGTCAGCACCAGCATGCCCATGGCTTCATGTATTACATATATCAATCAGAGGCACAATTCGATTGTTGCATTACTTAAGCACTTTGGCCGAGACTCTCCCACGCCTTTCTGAAGGGGACCCTAGGAACCTCCATCATAAGCCAAGTCCCTAGGCTCGCTATCATTTTGCCCAGACACATTTTGGTGAAGGTTGGGTTGGTTCCAAGAGAGGACCTTTCATCTCACCAAGGCGTCCCTTCAAAAGGTTTCACTAGGTCCTCCAGTAGAGAGGTTGGAATAAGGGTACCCTTTTTGCTGTAGCCTATTTTAGTAGGGGAACCCTCCCCCAGGTAAAAGGGCACTACTGGGGGACCTAGTTCAGGCGGCAAACAGGCCTTCTGATAGAGTCGAGCCTTGCACCAAAAGTTCACCGAAGATCGCAGTGGCGTTTCAAAAGCGGCGGTGCCTGCAGGGTATTCCTGGTCTCAGATGTACCCACTTTGTATTTGGGTCATTTTGTGTTTTTGTACTGCAGATTTCAGGGAGCCTACCCTTTTAAGTTGAACCGTTATCTTACCAATTGACCCGTGATCCCAACCCTTGCCATCCTAGTAGATGGATCGAAAAACGCTTTTGTTCAAAAGCCAATGAAACACCCCCCAGTTTCGGCCAACTTTTGGAGAAAAACGTCCACTTGTCTGATCCACAAGCTCCGATTCAACAGCTGGGCTGAACCCTTCTGGGTTCCTTTCGAGCATACAAGTTGCGTGTTCCAATCTCTGGACGCCCATGTGGTTCTTTGGTGACCATCATGGACCCTAACACACCATCTGAGAGTTCTCGCAGACCGTTACAAGCCAATACCGCAGTTATCTTTTGAGGCCATCAGGCAAAGACTTTGGCTTGACACGTGCCAAGGTCAGGTTGATCCTGGCAACCAATGCGAAGAAGAGAAATCCGAGGCCTATGAGCACAAAGCAGCTGCAACGCCCCCTTTGCGCTGCCAAGTGCATTGCAAGACTGTTGCTAGTGAATTGCACAGACTGCAGGAGACACGCAGCGCCTGTTGGTTTACCCGTCAACGTTGGCCAATGTCGCGTCCCGGTAAGGCTGTACGGTTGTACGCTATAGGCTATAATATACTGGAAAACCAGTATCTCTACAAACCAAACATATGCACAAAACATATATTGTGTTTACACCTGAAGGCTGCAATCCTTGTAAGATGCGCACGGATCATATTGAGATACGGCTCGTGAAAAGCGAGTGAAGAGCACACCAGCCGTGGCTCCCGCAGTAAAAAACTGTCTTGCCAGTGAATTCCACTGGCCCCAGGCAATGAACAGACCTAAGGAACCGGATCAAGTTTGTTGCTAGAGTGGTGAGTGTAACCCGTAAGGAAGAAGAGGCACCAGGTCCCATTCCCTGGGGCCAAAACCTTTGGCTCTCGCGGCTTGTGCCGCGAGACGCAAAAAAAACACCTGCATGGCGCGTGGCCTCCGGGCTTCTTGCCAAGGTGTCGGAAAAATGAGGTCGGAACCCACGGTGTCCAGCATGACAACAAACGGAAGTCATGCGCTGGCTACTCCTTTGTGGCGACCTTTCTTCGCTCAAGTGTCTTGTTCTAAGGCGAGATCGATTCGGTTTAGGTAATCAGTCAGACCCCTAACCCAGAATTGGAATGCTTTCATGTGCTCGTTTGCGCCTGTGGAAATGGCCATCAGTTGCTCATTTGTGCACCAAGATGAGCTGCGTGTTTCCCTGCCCTTGGGCATTTCCGACACCCCTGCGCCTCTCCTCCTGAGCCAAAACCCTGAAAATCGGAAGCTCGACTTGTTCCTGGCCATTTCCAGATCCAACCGGCCGTTTTCCCCGCAGGGAATGGAATCACCGAGACTTCCCCCAAGCCACGACGTTAGCTTTGGCGCAGCCTCTCTACCTAGAGTCTCCATAACCCTTGAAAAATGGTTGGTCATTACCCAAAATTAAGGCTAGGTCCTCCAGTAGAGAGGTTGGAATAAGGGTACCCGTTTTGCTGTAGTCTATTTTAGTAGGGGAACCCTCCCCCAAAAAAGGGTAAAAGGGCACGATCCTGGGGGACCTAGAAGGGGTTCTAACCCCTCGCTCGAGTCCGCGGCCTTCTTCGAAGGAATCCGCGAGCGAGCCGACGAGCCGACGACCGGCCGCTTGGCCGCGTCTCACCACTCCACCTTGTGGCCATTCTCCTAGTGGCGCTGGGATTGGTTTGCCCACACACCAAAAGACCTTCCTGGAGCCATGACCCTCTAAAAATGGGGTCATTGCCCAGAATTAAGGGGTTATGACCCCTTTTTCTAGGGGTTGTGGAGACTCTAGGTTCAGATTTGGACCGCACATTTAACATAGGATTCCACCAGCATCCACCAGCCGCACATTTAACATAGGCTTCAGCTTCCACCAGCATTTTGGATCCCTTGCTTCCACCCCTGTTTTTTTGGAGGTTTTGGGGTAGATCTACCCGCGAGAAGGCTTCACAATCCAAGGAAGGCTTCACATCCAACGTTTGGTGAAGCCGAGACCGAAGAAGACCGCCCAACGGACAAACAGGGTAGACATTTCGGGGTTCTGTTTTTTTTGGCCCCGGCACCGAAAAGCGCCAAAAACCAACACGGCCACCGCGCCTCAGGTTTTGTTGCCAAAGGTCACAAAGCCTCGTGGGAGTTTCGGGCGTGGATTTAGGGGACGGACATCGAAAACCGTCCGCGAGGAAGATCTTTCACAGAGCTGCATGTGAAAGTGAATCTGAGCAGCTGGTTGTCTTCCGACACATCGAACAGTAGTTGCCATCTTCCCTTCCAGGCCATTCCTTAAATCACCTTTTTGGCCAGTTCATTTGTGAGATTCCTTGTAGGGAGATGTTTAAATGCCTTGGAGTACGGCATTCAGGCGTTTATAGGTGATAGCCCCGCACGAGATCTAAGGTCAAACCGGTGTTTTGCAAACCAAAGGCCAGTCCTTGTAAATCCGTCGCTCGTCCAGCTCCCCTTTGGCCACTTTCTCTCCTCAGGAAAAATGGTGTGACATGCGATGGGCGTAGGGGCACTCCCTTTTGCTGGACTCAAAAGAGATTACACAAATACAAGCCTATCCTATGAGTGAGCGGCAATCAAGTAACCAAATGCAGTATGGGACGGTCCCAAGCATACATAGGTGCGGCCGCTCTTGAAGTTCTTTGAGGTGAGGTAGCAGGTTAGAACACTTATTACCAGTTGTTGACTAAGCATCATATATCGAACTATATATAACAAATATCAGCAGAAAGGAACCAACCACTTTGGGGGGTCCCCGCCGATGTTCAGAACATGTCGTGAACAAAAGCCATGCAGTGAATCCGAACGCAGGAACTCATCCGTCTAGCTCGTAGCAAGCCTGAGCATAAGAAATACCACGGTGACATGGCTACAACTCATGGGCGTGTTTTTGAGGGTACTCCTTTTCGGTCTGTTTCAAAGGGGAACCAAACGCAAACCCACTTGTTATTGCTTTGTTTTTTGCAGGGGGGGTCCCTGCAAAAAAAAAGAGAGACACTCATCACACATACATGCATATACTACATATCCAAACAAAACACTACGACTCGATCGGACAAAGCAATCTTGCCCTCCATCTTCGTATGAATGCTTCCTCCTTTCGGGAAAGTGACTTGGACTTTGGAAGATCTTCATGTTCAATTTTTTTCTGCCGGCTTCCATGAAAACTTACCCCTTAAAACTCCAAGCCCTGGGGAAGTTTTCATCTGTTACAGACACATAGCCCATGGTACCCAAAAAGTCGAAAAGTTGTGTTGTTTAAGAGGTAAGAAAAGAGAAACTGATCCAAACACATGAGATCAGAACGCTCCGATATCCTGGCAGGGAAGGCTGGCTATTTTTGCTCCAGGACAGCCGAAGCATCGATGGGCTTCCCTGAGAATGGCGGCATAAAACCTAGCTGGACCAGTGGAAGCCGTCTATCTTTAGCCGCACCAAGCTCAAACGGACAGTCCTTTTGAGACCAATGGTCTACCTTGTGGTGTGTCATCCTGAGGGTTCTGGAGGAACCCCGATCTTTGAAAGAACACCTCCCAAACATGTAAGGAAGAAAGGGCGTTACCGCACACTCGGGGCAGGCGTTGCTTTGCCAGCTGCAACAGGTTCTTTATGGATTTGTTGGTGGTGGTTCTAAACGTCCGCCCTTGTGACAAGGCATATTCAAAAGAGACTTTTTCCTTGGATGGGATGACGTTGGTTGGCAACGAACAAAATGCGTGTTTGTCTGGAGGGAATCACCCCTTGGGTGGGTGGTGCTCCTTTGGTTTCCAACAACTGCCCATGCGAAATTCCTCAACAAAAGACACACGGGTCCACATGTGCTATGCTCAAAACCGCTTCCTGTGTGTGAGTGTGTGTGTGTGTGTGTCATGGACATGAATTTCTTGATAGAAGCCATGCTTGAGAGGTTGTCTAAAATGCCAACCAAGCTGGTTGAGGATACCAGCCCTTTTGCAAAACATCCGGTCTACTTGTGGAGTTCTGAACCTCCAACCCTCCATCCCGAAAGCCCAAAAAGTGTCGCCAAAACCTCCGCCAGGCGGATTGGGCTTTCCTCTAGGTCCTCCAGAGAGGTGCCATGGCAGGGAGGGGAAGCTGCTTCCTATTGGAGGAGCCAACATTGTTGAGCAAACTACCAAGAATAGACTAGGTCCTCCAGTAGAGAGGTCAGAATAAGGATACCATCTCTTTTTTCTCTAGTCTATTTTAGTAGGGGAACCGAATCTCCCCCGAAAAGGGGTGAGAAAGGGCACGATCCTGGAAAACCTAGTCAACAAAACCATCAAACCAGGACAAGAATCCAGGAAAATGCATCTTAAATGCCCCACAAGCACCAGAACTTTGGCCGACTTCCTGGGGACCTTCTTGGAGCGAAATCCCCCTACCACAAAGCGTGCGGGGAAGTTCCCCACAGGAAACATGGTTTTTAACATAAATGGAGATCTCCAAGCATTTCGAACTCCCTCCTCCCCCAATTCTCCCATTTTTCAGGGGCTGGGGATCAATCGCGCTGGCTGAGTGGATGGCCCCAAAAAAGTACCCAAGCTTTACATTTTCCACTAACTGAAAATGGTCCTCCCAAAAAGTTTTTAAAGTTCATGAACTCAGGAAGTGAGCTCTCCGAACCAGCCATCTTTCGTTCGGCTCGCTCCGTTCGACGCGACGTGACGCCCGTTTCGCCGTTTCTCGGAACCGCGGCGCCCAGCTCATCCCAGAGCCGCTGCCCGCCCGGGCGGATGCAGAGAGAGTTCTCTTTCCGGCACTGTCGGCACTCGTCCGGCATGAACTTGTCCCGCCCGAACTGGGCCAGAGAGAAACACCCTTTTGCAGAAAAAACACCACCAAGGCATCTTTCTGGGGGAACCGGGGGGACCTTGAAGCACCAACACCCTTTTGCAGACACCATCAAGGCATCTTGGGGGAACCTTGAAGCACCAAGGCATCTTTCTGGGGGAACCTTGAAGCATGCCTGCAGACACCAGAGCATCTTTCTGGGGGAACCCGACATTGTCCATTCTTTGGGGTTCCGCTTCCCCTCAATGGGTGGCTTGGATTGGTGGGTTTGGATTTGAAGCCCTGGTTCTTGCCGATAAATGGGAAAGCCCTCCTTCATCACCTAAACCACCCATCCAAACCAATTGGAGGCAAGCTGATAACAAGCCTTGAACTTGGCCCTGGGGGACACAAATGAACAGATCAGAACATGCGACTGTGTTAGGGCAACTAAAAAACAGTCGTCAGGTTTATGGGTAAGTGTCTTCTTTTCAGGCCCTTTTGTGGACATTTAGGGATTTATGTCCGCAATTTCTTTGAGGTGGTTGCCTACTTGAATTCAGAGCCATATTTAGTCTACCTTAATAGTATATAGAATAGGCTTGGAGACCAGTTTGGGATCTACCTGGACTAAAGAGAACCGGCCCGTATAATTTTGTGGAGAAATGGACCCTCAAAATCAGTGGTTGCCAAAGGATCTCAGGACCCTCAAAACACACCAGCGGCCTTTGCGGTGGGATGTTCGTTCCGGGTAGGTGAGAAGTTTGGAGAAGAATCAACTGGAATTTGAATGTCCTGTGACGAACTGGGGGGGTGTTTATTAATCAGAGGTCAACATTAGGGGGACCTCATTGGTTTGACGAAGTCTTCCAAGGAAACTCCCAGAGTCAGTCTCTTGAATTGATACCGTGTTTCCATACTTTTCAAGCAGGCTCAAAAGGACAACCCTGGCGTGTCCCCAGATTTCCCTGGCTCTTTGGCATGGGCGGAGAGGGGTGAGTTGCATCCAGGCAGCGTAGACAAAGTGGTATCGACAGGTCTGCTCGTGGTGATGATTCCCTGAGATGCGCGTGGGTTGAATGACCCTTTGGTTGCATGTCCATTGTAGGAACACGGTGTCTTCTCTTCTTTTCTTTTTTTTTCTTTTTTAAAAAAGAGCGCCCAAAATGCCTCCTTCCCACCCAAACAAGAAGGAGGGCCACAATTTGGGTTCTTTTTGCGAGGGCTTTTGGTTGGACAGGATTGGCATACCTCCCAGAGCAACCCGGAACCACTTTTCAAGATGCTTGTGCTGCTGTCTTTTGGATGCTTTCCAAAGCAGGGAAGTGAACCCCTCATCAATAGCAGTTGCTTCCGGTTTCACTTTCAAGAGCCGACAAGGGCCAGGAGAGTCCTGCTGAGGGAAAGCTGCCCCCTGCATTTTGTCCAACCCGACCAGCTTTCAAAACCTGCTGGAATGAAGAGTGGGAAACCTGGGGATGCCCACAAATTCAGTGGAAACCACCAGTTTGGTCCCGAAAGGGTCATGCCATGTCGAACCAAAATTTTAGGCCTCAGGGAGTGCAACGAAACAAAACAGCTTCTTGACGTGCCTATTTGGGTGTGTCTCTTCTTGCTGGTACCCCGTTTTCCCCAGCTGCAAGCCTTGCGTGCTCTGCAACAAGCTTTGGGGTGATTCGGGGTACTTTCAGGAGGGCTCCGGCTGAGCTCCAGCGGGTTGCGGGGCTGTTGGGGATACCACCCGGGCTTATTCGTGTTTTTTGAGGAAAACACACAAGGAAAACACGCAAGGAAAACCACTCTTGTGGGGGTCCGATGCACCAAAAACCACGGCATGTTCGAGTGCGGCTGCTCTTTTTCTAAGCTTCACCTGCCCCCTCGGGCTTGAGATCGCCGGTGTTCAAGGAGTTGGGAGGCGTATTAAACCCCAGAGTGCAGCATACCGAGTGTCTGATATAGGTGTCCCCTTTTTCATCCTCCCCCCAAAAAGAAACGTGGGGGGTGTTCGTTTTGGTGTCCCTCAAACAACAAAACATGGGGCACCAACTCAAAAAGAGACACCCCCCCCAAAGAAAGAAGAAGTTGCTGATTTCCAGTTGGTTTCCCTTCAAACCCGTTAAATGAAAAAAAGGGGGAACCGACTCAAAAAGAGACAACCACCCTCCCCCCCAAAAGCAAAAAGAACAACAAGTGGATGTCCTGTTGGTTTCCCTTTCAACACATTCTTTTAAAAAATGCCCCCCCTTCCAAAAATGTGGTGTCCCTTCAAAACCGTTTTACAAAACGGGGAAATATGTGGTGTCCCTGCTAAAACCAAAAAACAAACCAATAAATACAATACAAAATGATATATGTGTTCAAGAAAGAAACAAACAAAAATGGTGCCAACTGAAAACAAATGCCGGTGGGGCCCATCTCCACAGCTCCGATTTTTCCGCGTCCAGGCGTCCGTGGGCTTTGATGGCCGTGCGATCCGCGTGGCACTCGAAGCAGAACTCGTGGCCGCAGTTGAAGCAGGTCTCACGGCGGCCGGCGGACGGGTGTCGTTTTTGTTTTGGGGGGGGGGGGGTGGGGTGTTGGGTTTTTTGGGGGTTATCGAGGCGGGTCTCTTTCTTTTCTTTTTCTTTTGCGTGTGTGTGTGTGTGTGGCTCTTCTCCTGTTTTTGGGTGGGGGGAACAAGGACACTTAGAGTCTATTTTGCAGACTCAAACCCGAAGAAATCAATACCCGAAATGAAGCAGGTTGCAAATTGACCCAACGTGTCCATGAAATTTGCCGGGGGGGGGGGGGGGTCCCTAAGGTGGGTCTCGTTTCTTTGTGTGTTCTCTCACTCTTTTTTCTTTTTCTTTTTTTGGGGGGGGGGGGCGGATCAAAGCATTTTTTTGAGGGGGGTCTCTAAGGTGGGTGGCGTGTCTTTTTCAGTCGCTTTTTTTGTTCTTTTTTTTCGAGGGGGGGACCAAAGGATCCCTACTTGCCACGAGGGGGGGGCGGTGTATGAGGATCCTTCTTTGTTGGGGGAAACCCCTTTGGAAAAAGGGAAGCCAAACCCTGTGCTTCCATTTACCCGGGTAGGAGTGGGGGCGTGTTTGATGAGCGCCTCTTTTTTGGGGGGAACCGGTGGATTGGTCAGAACAAGCATGGAAACGGTTTGTTTATCACTAGCGTGGTCCAACCCCAAGAAGTTTGAAGGGCTTGAGAAAGGGAAGCCTCTAGGGAACCCTAGCACGCGGGCGCCCCTATTGGGAGATGCAGTTCAACCCACATCACGACATGATGTGTTGGCAGGTGCAGGGAGATTTGCAATGAACAACAAGCTGGATCTGACATGCAAATTGTTCACTGGGGATCCCCATGCTAGGAACGCTTCCAGCAGGGTCGTTGACAAGACTTCTTAGCGGCTTTCCAAAGAAGGGGTCCTGTGTTTGACAATGCCCCAGACAGGGGGGGAAGGGTTGCAAATCAAGCGGAACCTGGATATGAGGCTGTTTCCATGACATTCACCTCAATGGTCTATAGGATTTGGAGACAAGAGGGCGATAACTGACAAAAGCAACTGCATCAACAGGCGGGACTCGCCCGGGACGGCGAACATTCGTATGAGTTTGTCGCAAGCTGGCTCCGGAAGAAGCAAACAATTATCCACACCCCCTTTCGGTTTCCTTTTGGGGGGGAAATCACAACTTATGAGCTAGTCAGCACCACCACCGGGGTCAAATTTTGGGTGGCTCGTCATTTTGTTTGGAGTTGGTACCTGTGGAGTTGTTTTGGAGGACTGAAGGAACCATTTTTAGGGATCCCCTGAAGCCTTCGTTGATCCCGCGACAAAGCTAAACTGTTGGATCTGGCAACTGCTCTAAACACCAATAGTCTAAAATCGAGCGTGGCCCGGCAAGAAGGCAGGTGCTTTGACCATGAACAAACACTGGCCGAAAGGCTGACCCTCTTTGAGCGCAATCCTTGACAAATCTCACTCTGGAGTCTCATGTGTTTGTCGTGTCTGTGCTTGGTTTTTGCCCCGCCATGTGGTCGCACTGGTCATCGTCCTCCTTCATGATGCCTGGCGCAATGGAGGCTAACTACATGCTTTTCCAAAGTGGGTTCCGTGCAGGAAATGGAACAAGACTCATATGCATAGGCAAATTATTGAAAATTGCTACTTTTTGGTACCCCGTGTGGGTAAACTTGGAGTTTGTTGCCGCAAGTCTGGGAAGCAGGTTCACGCTGAAAATTAATTCCACTACGTGCGGACAAAGAGGCATCATCGAAAAAACTGAGATAGAAACCACACTGCTGAGTGTCTTTTGACTTGGGCAGAGGCCGCCAGAGCAAGAGCAGAGGGGTGTCACAACATGTGGGAACCTTGAAAACTTGGCGGGGGGGGTGACTTTCCTCTTGGTTCCCCGTGAAACCAATCTTAAAAAGGGTACCCCTAAAAAGACGTTCCCAGAATCAACTGATGCCAATAAAAGTGCAGACGTGCTTCCCAATTAAGGGGTGCGGTGAGGATGTCGAGCGCCGACAACGCGGATCAAATGAGTAACTGCAAGAATTCGGTGCGAGAATCAAATCGTTCAAAGGTCTCCGCAAACGCTTGGCGTAGACCGAAAATAAGATGTTCATTGTCTGCTTCATAATTGAAATATTTTTTGGGGAGAACCCAGAAATCTTCTCAAAGCGCCCACCCGGCATGCACGGTCCGTTTCGCCTTGCAAGCACGCGGGGCAAATGCTGAAGACCTCGCTGTTCTCATCCTTCAATTCCTGGAAGGGGATGGGGCGTGAGGGAATGCTATCTTTTTAGGGGTACCCTCCCCATTCTTTCCAGGGATCCTTTTTTTCAGGAAACCATCAAAAACTCAGGGGAAACAGCCGGTTTTTGAAAAGAACGATGGTTGAAAAGAATGGTTGGAACCAACCCCTAGGGGACCAACTATGCCAAGCTGGCCAAGTAAAAGCTGGGACGTCTGATTGCACGGTGCCTCGGCTGCAAAAAAAACGCTCCGGCTCGACATCCAAAGTGGGTCTTTCGAGTTGATGCAAACGCCAAAGGGGATTCTCCATTCTCAGGCATGCCCATCCGTAGCATGAGGAAAAAAGACAAATGGTCCAACCTGGGCTCTAGCTGCAACATTGCCCTGCACAATTTACAACAAAACATGTTTTTGCCCAGAACAGCCAATGGTTTGTAAAAATTGGGCTGTCCTCAGATCCTCTGCCAAAACTATGGGTTGAATGGAAACTACCACAAAACCCCAAAAAGCTAAAATCCGAAGGGGATTGCTGGGCGAGCCGCCAGCAAAACAAACGATCAAAGAGCTGTGTCATCTGTTTTTTGCTGCCGGTTTACTCACCTTGGGGTACCCTTCTCGCAGACAGTAAATCAAAAGTTGAAACAACTGTGGCGACACAACCTGGGGTTGTCTCGCATGAATCGCTTTCTCAAAACGGACCGGTGCTATGTTTCCTATTTACAACCACCCCGACATGTCCCTCAAAACAAGAACCACCAACAACCACCCCGAAAAGCTCAGTTGCTTTCTGCTCCCCTGCTAAAAGTTTAACTTGGTTTAATGCGGAAAACCCAATTGTTGGCAAAAAAGAAGTTAAAGTCCTAACATCCCTTGGCAAAATGCGACCAAAAAGGACAACCAAAAAGGACACCTATGGGGTTTCCATGAAAAGGGCCCCGAGGTCGAGGTCGAGGTGCGGTGCTTTTTTTCTCAGCTAAAACCGACTTCGTCCTTGGCCACGCGCGCCCGCGCATTCCAGTACTGCCGGAAGTGGCCCTCGAAAAAAAATCTCATCCGGGTTCTAGGGACGTGTACTTTGAGGGGTTCTCCATGGGGGGCTGGTGACAAAAGGGGACTTTTTACCCCAAGGCTCCCGGGGCTTTTTGAGATAGAGTGGGTTGGTTTCAAAGGCCCCTGAAAAGTCCGGATTCTTCATTGGCCGGTCCGGCCTGCATTGAAGGGGTCACGGAGACTCCAGGTAGGGTCGCTTCTGGGGTACGCCTGTTTTGTGTCTCTACAGAGAAGCCAAAAGGAAAGCCATGTTGGTGTCCTTTGTGAAAGACAAGAAACGCGCTTCCTGAATGATTCGGCAAAAAAACACAAATCGGACTTGTGTACCCCACTTTTCATGGGGTCCAACCCCAATGTGAAAGTCCAGAAACTCAGGAGAGATAACTTGGGAAACCACTTCAGTTCTAGTTGTTTCCTTGAGAGAAAACAACATGTCTCTTAGTTTGAACAGGGATCCGGATGCAGTATACACCTGAACATTGCAACTTGTCAATTGTGGTTTCCAACTTTATTTTGGTGGGAAAAGCCATGTTGCAAATGGGCAAAATGTATCTTTTAAGGAGCCCTGTTTGAACCATCACCAATTGAAGGTTCTCAATATTTCCCTTTGGAACACCCCATCTAAAGGAACTCACTTTCGATGAGCCAAACGGTGATGCTTAAAAATACCCTTTCAGCAGAAGCAGAGGGAACCCTGTGCTTGGGACGTAAAGTGAGTTTGCTCTTGGTGTAGTGTGGGGGAAGTCGACTGTTGGTTGGCAACCAGTTCCAGAGCCGAAGCCACAGTACGGTTGCTCCCACATGCGTCCAAATCGATGGGCACAAGTTGGTTGACATTCGGGCTTTGGTAAAGCCAAAGATACAAGAAGTCTGCTGTTTCCTCCGCTTTTGCGTGCGTGTGTGTGTGTGGTTGAAGGAGCTTCGACAATCGGAGAAAGTTGCTCCTCCCACGGCTCAGCATCTCAAGGGCTTGGACCTGCTTTTCTGGCCTGCCCACTCGGGTTGCCTTCGCCCCCCCCCAAAAAAAAGGATAAACAAATCACCACTGGAGGTCTGGAATCTACCCGGAGTCTCCTTCTGACCCTTTAAAAATCAGTCATAACCCAAACAGGGATCCTTGCATTATACACCTGAACATTGCCTTGTAAATGGTGGTTTCCCTTTATTTTGGTGTTTCAAATGGGCAAAATGTATCTTTTAAGGAGCCCTGCCAAACTTCAGGGGTTATGACCCCTTTTTCTAGGGCTGAGAAGGAAACTCTTCTTAGACATTCCAGCCCTCGCGCTTTTTCTCCAGCCTCCCCGAGCGAAGAACTGTGTCACGCCCACCTGAAACCCGGCCGAGCGGCGTTCTTCATCTCAGCCCATGCCTTCGCCATGCCGCAGTCATAGTGCTTGCCGGGAATGTATAACGCTTTGCACTTCTCACCTCCAAAGGCTGGGTTGCTAGCGAGAGAGACCCCTCTGCAAAAAGTGAGCTTTTTTTTTTCTGGGGATGGCAAATCCGCGGTTTCCCGAAAAGTTTTATAGCCCAAACATCCCAAATCGCCATAAAGAGGGGGTACACTGAACATCAGATGTCCTCAGGCTCAGCAGCCGCTTTTGAGTGGGTTTAAAGGGAAACCAACAGAAACCCATCCGACATGGGTGGGTGGCCCTATTCTGAGACGCAGCCATATGTAGTCCTGTAGTCCACCCTAAAACTGTTCCCGGAGGCGATCCCAAGCCTCTTTTGATCATCACGAGACAGGGGGAGTTCCTCACGCCGCAAAGGACAATTCAGGGGGGACTCAAAAAAAGCCCCAAAACCGAACACTCGGGGCTTCCCTCAAGAACCAACACCAACATCGTGTGGGTACTGCTGGTCTGATCTAATGACTTTGATCGATATTAGTATATTAGGGATATGGGAAATCGCAGGGGGATTACAAGGTCAGAAACCCAAGCTTTCCTCACTTTCGATCGAGTGGATGGACAAAAAGTCAAACTCATTGTTTGCCACAATGTTCCAACCCAAAAAAGTCGTACAAAGCGATAAAAGGCAGAAACAGAACTTCGGGAGTGAGGTTTTCTAGGAGCGGATCTCTGTGTGTCACTCCATTCAGACTGAACTCCCTCAGTTCCAAACCAGCTGCCAAGGGGGTCCCACCCAAACGGACTGCGCTTGAGGAAACACCACTCGCTATCTCACACTAGGACTTGGGAGGGGGCGCACCAACCACGCTTCACAACAGCTTTCCATAGCATGGCAGAATTTGCTCCTACCACGACAACGACCTCAATTCTTTATCGTGGTATGAGCCGCAAATTGTTCATCGTGGAATGAACATAAGTTCCTTATCGATGTTAGTGTTTGTTTGTCGCTGTTATTGAAGTGTTGTCGTGGAAGGTACCCCCCCTGAGGACTCGAACTCCTTGGATGTGCTTAAAAGGAAACCAACATAAGGAAGCCATCTGGAGGAATTGGTCCCCAATTTTGAGAGGCACCAAAATGGCCGTGAGCCGCTGCTATGTTTGCAAGACGTAAATCCCCATCACCAGGGGGAGGTTGAATAGACAGGTTCTTGTGGATTTCCCTACAAGGAGAACCGATTCTTGGGCTTCAGTCTATCTTAGGGCAATCAACAAATGGAACTATGGATGCCAAACTTCATCCAGTTGGCATCTGGGATGTCAGCCATAGAACCTAGGATCTATCATTGTTTAACATAGTTGTGGAAACACAACCTTTCGTGCAATGCCAGAGTGTGATTCTCATCCCTATGACTAGTTTGTCACTTGAAACCGGACTCCCGTGGTCAATTGTCCCCCATGGGCCGTTTCCGTGACCACAACCCAATTTTCGCAAGGGGAAGTCTGTTTGGACTGCCAACCCCGGTTCACGCCGCTAACCCCAGTTTACCTTCCGTAGGCTCGCGCCGAGCGGCATCTCCGACCACACTTGGGGCACTTGTAGTTGGTGGCCCCCTCCTTGCAAGCCCGGGGGGGTGCACCTGCACCCTCGAGCTACCCTTGCAACTATCCTATGCTCAAGACCCTAAGCCCAAAGGGTCCCTTGGCACCCCATATTTGCGGCTTTGGGTTTGGTTCAAGGGGACTCGTCAATCACAGATTCCTCAAATCCGCAATACCAAGGGAACCGCGAAGGAAGTGAGAAAGTCGTCATGATGGGAATCTCACTTTGGTGATGCCAAAGGGTGATTTTCCACAATAAGGATGTGGGCTTGTAGCACGGCTGAGGGGAAGAATGACCCCCACCTCGGCAAAGGATAATGTTTGTTTTTCTCCTTTACCCCAGTTTTGCAAGATGCCCTTGCCCCTTCCTTCTTTCTACGGAATTTGCGGGGGACGCTCAACAGGTGCTAACAAACAGGTTCTGATCACTTGCGACAAAGGACATTCATGCGGATACCGGGTCACCCAAGTTTGAGGTTGCACGGGGCAGCTTCCATGGGTTCGAGAAGTTGCCGTGTTTCTTGAGATAGCTGCGCCCTTCGCAGTCTCTCTGGACAAATTGCAACGAGCTCACCGATTGGCGAGTGGAAGAAGTGATTTACCCTTCCTCCAACTAACATGGCACCTGTGGGGAAGTACCTGGAAGATTAATTTCCTTTTGAAGGGACCCCCTGTCAGTTGCCATGTTCGTGGGAGGTAGGCGGGAGGGCACCCCTTAGTAGGGTCTTTGGCGAGTGGAACGAGTGATTTACCCCTTCCCAGAGGGTCCCAGAACGCTGTGACAGAACAAGGGGGCACACCAAAATGGTGGGTGGGACCCCCTCGAACACAATCTGGCGAGGGTAGCCTCAAATCGCAGCCCCTGCTCGTATGCCTTTCGAAGACCGATGCAAAGTTGGGACTGCGAGGCGTGAGGAGAATGTTCTCATTCTGGTGGTGCGGGAGTTCTTCTGTCACACTAGCACCCCCCAATCGCTGCCGTTTTTTTCCCCGTCTTCTAAGCCCCAAGTTAAAAGATGTTTCCCACTACCCCAAACCACTACCACCAGAGGTTCAATGGGATTTGCAATCACTATCAGCTACGATAAAATACAGTGTACTCATTTTTCGTCGGGGGCTAGTGGTTTGAGTGCAGTGGGAACCATCTTAGACAAGTGCTGTCAAACAAAAATGGGATTCAAACCACCATTAAAGCAATGGGGGTTTATATACTTACCCCTTAAAACTCCAAGCCCTGGAGAAGTTTTCATCTTTTTCAGACATATAGCCCATGTTACCCAGAAAGTTGAAAAGTTGTGCTTTTAAGAGGTAAGTATACCCGCCATGGTTTGCCAAAGGATTGTCATCTACATTGGGTCCCCAGGCATGCCATCCGTTTTTTTGGGCCGGGTTTGAAAGGCCTGCAGTCCACCATTCGTAACGCCCCCAGTCCACCATTCGTGTACTGGGAGTTGAACCCGGGTAATTCCATTGGTGTTGACCCACAGCCACATAACAAGCACAAGATGAATTGTGGCTAAGTTGAAAGCTTGGGTTCTCCCCACTAAAATAGTTTTGCCTAAACTGGGTGGTGAATTCACCTACCCCCATGATGGGATCCCATTGGTGTTGACCACCACGGCCTGACGACTCGTGTTGCAGTCCTCCTTGGTGGCCTTCGTGTTGCCGCACCGCACGCAGGTGCAGTTCACGAGTCGGGGCGCCGGAGGCTCCTGAGTGCCTGCCGTCGAGTGGGAGTTGGGGCGGATTTTTGTTGGGAGCACGGGGGTGGAGGGGGGGTGGAGGTTTGGAGGTAAGCCTGGCCATGTTTCAACCAACCCCAAAAAAGGACACACCCACATGGCCGTGGGCCAACACCAATGGGATCCCATTTTGGGGTAGGCGCACCACCCATGCTAGTCTATTTTAGTGGGGATTGGGATGCTCACTGCGGTACGGGGTTTTGACCCATAGCCACATGGAGAACCCAGGCAATTAAAAAGCAGGACAATGTAAGGGGCTAAATTGCAAACGTTCCCTGTGGTACCATCCTTATGAGATTCTCATCCCCGTCACTTGACCGCTTCCCTTAGGCAAGTTTTCAACTTAAACGATTCATCTTATTCTTGTTCTTTGTCAAAATAGGGGACCTGAAACACTGGTCAAACATTCAACGTAGGGGACCCCGCACACTTGATACGCGCTTGGCTTCCTTTGGAACCCAACCGTAGCCTGATTACAGTAAACAAGCAAGTTAAGAATAGGAATCTTTTGGAACCCCGCCGGAAACCTGGCCCAGAGCCAAAGGGGAAAAATCCCCTTGGCCGACAGTCGGAATACATAAACCGAAAAGGGTGGCGTGGTGCGGGGCTGGTTTCCCGTTTAGCCTCTACAAGATCCAGGGTTCAAACCACCAACTAGGGGTTCCCTGATTTAACTTACTGTGTAAATCCTTTCTGCCCAAACCACTGATCCAAGCCACCAATTGGGGCTAAAGCCCAAAGCCCAAACGACTCCGGGCTCCGAAACGCCCGCCTCGCACCATCTTCAGGCAGTCGTCGAAGAAGAGCTCGGGGTCCTAGGCTCTGGACAAAAATGTCCGTCCGTTTTGGTTTCCTCTTAGCTCGGCACATTTCGTTTTGTGTGGGTTGTAAAGGGGGCAGAAAAGGAAAGGCACCAATTTGCAGGGTCCCCTATATTGGCACATAATTACCCAAAAGCAGTTTCCTCTAAGGATGGTTCTTGAAGTTCCATGTTAACTCGGTTGCTTTCTGCTCCCCTGCTAAAAGTGAATAACTTTGAGTGGATTAATACGGAAAACCCATTAGTTGGCAAAAGGTTAAAATCCCAACATCCGAGCAACATGCACCAAAGTTAATGTTGACCCAAGATTCATCAACCCCAGAGTATGCATAGGAGGTGTTCCTCTCTAAAAGTGGTCTGATTCCCCACTATACCCCATTCTTGTTTTGTGTTTTTTGAGGGTGTGTTCCTCTCTAAAAGTAGTCTGATTCCCCACTATACCCCATTCTTGTTTTGTTTTTTTTGAGGGTGTGTTCCTCTCTAAAAGTGGTCTGATTCCCCACTATACCCCATTCTTGTTTTGTTTTTTTTGTGGGTGTGTTCCTCTCTAAAAGTGGTCTGATTCCCCACTATACCCCATTCTTGTTTTGCTTTTGTGTGGGTGTGTTCCTCTCTAAAAGTGGTCTGATTCCCCACTATACCCCATTCTTGTTTTGTTTTTGTTGTGGGTGTGTTCCTCTCTAAAAGTGGTCTGATTCCCCACTATACCCCATTCTTGTTTTGTTTTTGTTGAGGGTGTGTTCCTCTCTAAAAGCGGTCTGATTCCCCACTATACCCCATTCTTGTTTTGTTTTTGTTGTGGGTGTGTTCCTCTCTAAAAGTGGTCTGATTCCCCACTATACCCCGTTCTTGTTTTGTTTTTTTGAGGGTGTGTTCCTCTCTAAAAGCGGTCTGATTCCCCAGATGTCACCAGGGAGAGGCACCCTGCTATTCATAAACTGAGGTTGATTAACATGGGGTCAACATTAAACCAGGCCCAAAATGTTGGGCACCCTGAAAAACAGCCTATGGGTGCAACGCTCATCTCTTGGAGGGTAATTGCACCCTTCCTGAAAAAGATCTGCCAACGAAACTGTGGTCGGTGAGTTCTTCACGCCATTTCAGGAGGCCAGGCTCCGCTCCTTCCGACTTTCCGATCCCACCAAGCAGAAATCGGCTGCTGGAGGGACACCAATCTCTACCAATCAAAGGGACCTAATGCTGTGCCGGTCTTTGAGGCTTTGGGTAATGGGAAACCACAAACTTACCCCTTAAAACTCCAAGCCCTGGGGAAGTTAATATTTTGCAGACATATAGCCCATGTTACCCAGAAAGTTGAAAGGTTGTGTTTTTAAGAGGTAAGCAAAGTTTAAACCACTTCCCTGGGGTTGTCCCTTCCATCTCCTGCTAAGAGTCGAACAACTTGCAGCGGCTGGGTGGATCCAACTAGGTGAGCCTTTTTAGTAGGGAAACAGTCAGGAAGCCCAACCCCCAGAAATGGCGCCTGGAGGACCCACAAATTCTGGAGCCCCATTCTTCTACCAGTATTCAAGTCACCCCCTACGTAGCTGAAGGCGAAACCCATATTTTTGGAGAAACACCCACCACACGGCGCTGCCCCCGCGGAGAAAAAAATGCCAGAAGCTCCGTCTCGTCCGGTTGGAGCTCTAGGTCGTCCAAATGCCGCAGGGTCTGCGGCGCGACGCGCTTCCGGCCTTGGCTCCCGCTCGACCACCACCCCTACTTGGATGTGTTTGCGTGTTGCTTTGTTCGGGTGCATGTCTAGGTCCTCCAGTAGAGAGATTTGAATACGGGTACCATTTTTTTTCTGTAGTCTATTTTAGTAGGGGAACCCTTCCCCACAAAAGGGTAAAAGGGCACTACTGGGGGACCTAGATGTGTTGGTTGTTTCTTCTTTGTCTTTGTGGGAACATGTTGGCTGTTGCTTTTGTTTTTGTGGGTACATGTGTGTTTCTGTGTTTCTTCTGTGGGATGTTATTTCTTCGTTCTGATTTGGGTACATGTTGTTGTTGCTTTTTAATCGGCGGCACCATTTGGGCCTTTCAAGTTGCCCATTGCTGGTTTGGACTGGTGGTTTGGATTCATTTCAGCACCCAGCAATAGGTTAACCTTTTGGCTCTCCGATTTAAAACGGACCAAACCAGGGAAACCGAACAGTTAAAAGTCGATTCACTTTGGGCAAGTGGGTTGAGGGTACGTAGCCTTTTCACCTTGGTTTAAACGGGAACCCAAGAAAAACCATGATAGTTCACCAAGGATAATATGGCTGCAACTACCTCTTCTTGATATCCTGTTTGGGGTGGGTGTAAAGGGAACCCAAAAGGAAACCAACCTTCTTAGGGTACACCGATTTGGACACGCTCACATCCGCACAGATTCACCCGCCCAACGCGGCCACTTTTGGGAAGCCAAACTGAGCCTGGGCTGCCCTCCGATCTGCCACCAGTCTAACTGGGGCAAATGGACACCCACTGAACCCTAAAATCCCTTGAAAAAACCAAAGGAACCGGACGAATCGCTGGGTTTTCACCGAGCAAAAGGGAGGACATATCTGCCACTGAAGAATTGGTCGCCCCAGCCCAAGTTGCTAGGCTCAGTCGCCTGGAGCCGCCTCCACCCTTTAAAAATGGTTGGGCATTACCCTAAATTAAGGGGTCATGACCCCTTTTTCTAGGGGTCATGGAGACTCTAGGCAGGCGAACCTGTTGAACAAGTCGATGTCCTTTTCCTATACTCCGATCATTTGGGCAACCGATCCGACAAGTGAGGTAAAAGAGGGAAACATTGCGCGATCAACGTAGGCGTCCTTTGGGAAAAATCCCGGTCCGCTGAAAAAATGACTGTAAGCCAACTTGATTTTTATCGGTGGAATCCACCTACTGTCAGGGCCTGAAACACTACAAAGGGGTTGCGCGGCGGTACTAACTGACGAGACCATCATGCGTGTCCCGCAAGGGATCCGACAGGGCTGCCATTGAGTCAAAGTCAGTCCTTGGTTTCGGTTCAAGAGTGCACGCTTACTGCAATGTCGAAACGGCCGAGATTAGGAGAAAACAAAACTCGGCGAAACCATAGGTCAAATGTTGAAACCGTCCCAATTCGACGGCCTTACGCGAAAGATGCTCGTCTGTTTGGAGAAAAAGGGGGGGGACGGTGCTACGCGTCGCGAGACGACAATCGATCCGCAGCTGCGGGGCCGATCGGCCGCAGGCGCCGATCCCTGTGCGAAAGGCATATCCCACCGCGCGCTGCTTCCATGTCCGGCCAAGGTAAGTGGTTGGCTTGGGTTCTAAACCCCCCAGCAAGGTGAAGTCCTTAGGGAGACTTGCAAGCCGGGTGGACTGAGATCAACTTAGTGCCTTGGCCGGACACTCACTTGGGACCTGGCCGAAACATATTCCAAAGGGAAACCCAAAAGCTGAGAAAGATCCATTCGCTTTGGACAACCAAGCTGGTTTGTACCTCTGCTTTTCATGAGATAAATGTCACCTGTCGAACACCTGAGTTGCTTAGTAACATGTTCAAGAACCATTTGCTGGCAGCAACCTTTGCTACTCCTGCCACTTAGAATCAACGAAACAACAGACACACTCCTTTGCTGAGTTGCCGAACCACGCTCTCAGAAGCCCAGTTGCCAAAGAAACAACATGGACACCCTTTCCGTCACTCGAAGACCCTTGCCCAAAAAAAAAGGGGGGGAAAACAAATTAACGACCTCCACCGCTCCGCCGCGCCAAATTGGGGGGGCGAGTTTTTCCTCCACCCTCCGATTCCCCCGCTGTCTCACTCGCCAAAAAAAAACAAACTTCAGATCTCCCAGCGGCAGCAGTAGCCTTGTGGGGACATAAACTCCACACAGATGCGGTCCTGCCCCTCCTGCTCCATCACCTCCAAAAAGACATCACGTCAGACACACTCGAAGACTCAAAGACTCGAAATTCCGGGGGGTTGCCTGGACCTTTCTTGGCCCATGACTTTGCTGGTGTTTCTTGGGGCCCTCAAAAGCAAGATCTGGTTGGGATGCTTTCATTTCGGAAAGTCAACAGAGCCTCTTTGGAGCGATGAACAAAGATTTCGGGTTCTACTGGACCCTCACCCCTTCAAAACGCACCAGAATTCGGATCGAGAAACCCGGCATGTTTGGCCTTCAGGCGGTTCGTGTGCGCAGACTCCGGATTTATCACAGGTTCCTGAGGTTTTCGCAGAAGTCAGCCACATCTTCACCCTGCATACTGGGCTGCAGCATTTGGGTGTGAGTGTTTTTTCGCGGACCCGCCCCCCCCCCAAAAAAAAAAAAACACAAAGGGGGTACCCTCAAAGAAAGACAGACCCATTTCTGGTGCTGCTGCCTTTGAAAAAAGAAACACCGCTCCCGCATGGAGTTGTGAGTACAATGTACAAGGCCGCGTGACCTTCATTTACCTAGCCTGCGACCATAGGAACAAGGGAATCATTTTTGGTGGCTGACTGTTCTGAATACGGGGAGCCTGGCAAACAAGTGGCTTGAAGGAGAAATCAATCCTTCTCTCTTTCATAGCTCAGCTCTGCGTTGTGCACCCTCTTTGGATTTGGGTTCGTCTAGAATTTAATCCCAAAATGGCTGGTCTCCTTTTGGTTTCCGAATTGGAGTAGCTGCCAAAAGGGTACCCTGTCACAAAGCACACACAGGGTTTGCCTTCACATAGGGGCGCCCCCAAAAAACCGGGTGGTTTCCCTTTGGAACCCCTCTAAACCAACCCCAAAAGGGGCATAAACAAAATGATGCACTCAAAAGATTAACCCCACAAGCCAAAAGGGCTAACCTTCAAAAGAATGATGCGCTCAAAAAACCCCACAAGAGAATGAAAGGGGTGACCTTCAAAAGAATGACCTGCGACAAAAAAGACTGTTCAGCTCGGAAATCCCCGCCTGCGCGGTTCGCCAGCCGAAGTGCTCGCTGAAGACCTCCACAGGGCAGCCGATGGGCCACTGGCTCGAGCACATCTGGAGCTCCGCCTGGCGACGCGACCGCTGGGCCCAGCGGGCGCTGGGCCACCGGCGGCGGGGTGTGCGGAGGCGTGAGGCATTGGCCCAGTGGAAACATGGCAAGCCCCAGGTGTCAACTAGATCCTCCAGTAGAGCGGTTAGAAGAAGAGTGCCCACTTTTTGTTTTTTCTGTAGACTCTTTTAATTCAGGAACCCTGAACCAAAAAAGGGGAGAGAAGGGCACTACTGGGGGACCTAGTCAAGGTGGTTGAACCTCTTATTTACAGTGTGAAAGATGTTAAAAAGCTTTGTATGGGTCAAGATTCGTCACCACCAGGATATGTTGTCCATGGTTTCATGTAGGGTTCAATATGGGGTACCTATGTTTGACCCACAGCCCAAACAGTCCGGCAGATTCACATCACCAAAACGTCCGTGCAGAATTGTAGGAGGAATCTCCTTTTGGGGACCCCTTGCGTTCCAGGCTGGGCGTTCATGAGTGCAAACCATTTTTGAATGAGAGGATTCGGCGGAAAGAAAAACGAAAAGGAAGCCATAGGAAGACTAGAGGAGAACCAACACCCAGGCCCTTGGTACTGTGAGGATATACCTCGAGCCCTTGGTCCCTTACAGTACATCCTCAGGTACCAAGGGACCCTTGACAAAGGTGCTCGGGGCGGGCGGCGCAACGCGATGCCTGGACGATTAGATTCTTATTGGCCTGCTCGGAGACGTTTCTCGCCAAAAGTGCCGTTTTCGGAACGGTTGGCAAGTCGCCTGTCCAAGCCTTGCAAATGGCACAGACGAAACAGGCTTGTCAACGAGAAGGCAGTTGTGTCTCAGGATCTGACGATTGGAATATAAGAGCACTCTGACTTACATTTCCATGATTCAAAGCAGGTGTTTCCCCAAATCAGGCACCTTTTCTGGAGGTGTCCTTTCGGATTGTCCAAACAAAAACATGCAAACAAGTCCAACACGTTAATCGCTCGTGGTTCCCCGCATTTCAGTGGGAATCGCTCGTCAAGTTGTCCAACTGGCAACAAATGTTGATATTGGACAACTGGCTGGTGGCCATGAGTTTGCCGGAAATTCCGATGCCCAACACGCCTCTTGTAAAATTCACACCTTCACGCAGGTCACTTTCCCACAGATCGCGAACCCGAGTCCGCTTCTCACCTCAAGAGGTTCAAGGGTTCCTCTCTTGAGATGGGAAAGATAGAGAGCTCGTCCCATGTCCCCGCCCAAGACCGTAGACTTACTAAAATCTCGACCGAACATCATGCGGGTATGATTTTGCAAATGATGGTAACACCACCAAGGGAAGGGGCCTTTTTGGATACCAAACAAAGCCATGGTTGAAACTAACCAGGGGCAACAAAATGCGGAATCTGTCAGAGATCGTCGTCCCTGTTTGGAGCAAACATTACTATGGACACATGATTTGGCAGCCCCTTCCATCCGCATTGCCGTGGGTCGACGACTTCAGGATTCAGTGGTGCCAACAATACCACATCGGCTTCAAGCACGTTCACAATCCCAAAACGAACACGCTGTATGGACTCAACTTTGCCTGTCTGCACAGTCTGCTCCCCACCCATCCCAAGCAAAAGAATCGAGCTTGCAAACCAAAGAGAGCGGGAGTAAACAAAGAGACGAGGAGATAGATCTATATGTATGTATGTGTATGTATATATCTATGTGTGTATGTTGGTACATATCTAATAAGAGAGAGGGAATGATATAGAGAGACAGAGAGAAACAGAGGTAGAGAGAGAGAGAGAGCGAGAAAAAGCGAGAGAGAGCGAGAGAGAAAGAGAGAGAGAGAAAAAGAAAGATGGGCCCACAAACAGTCAAAGCTCCAACTCCCAAGCAGCGGAAAGCAATCGGTCCCTGCCTCACTGTGTCCCACAGGAAGAGAAGAGAAAGGCTGCGGGACAAGCGGGCTTCCTCCTTTCAAGACGTGGACTCCACAAAGGAACCTGCGATTGATTGCTTGTGGGGAAACCGAAAGGAACCGACCATTTTGGAGGCTCGCCTAGTTTAGACATGTGGAAACCCTCAACTTGGTCCGTGCGGCAATGGCAACCCTTCCAACAGAACTTTCCTCACTTGCGCCCTTCAAATGAGTGCTTCAATTGTTGAGAGGGAACCCCGCAAAAATGCTGATTTTATTTTGGCTCCCCTCTAAAACCACACTAATCGGGGTATATACCCTCCAACAAAAAGACACCCACAAGATAAGAAGGCAACCTCGTGTGCTCCAAACAGGTGATACATCACGCTCGGGCGCGCACAGGTCAGCCATGTCCGCCCCCAGCCGGAAAAGGTGTTTTTCAAAGACCAACCCCTCGTAGGGTCCCAACTTGGAACATCTTGGAGCCATTCATTTGAGTATGTGTCACGTTGGGTGCGCCCCAAAATGCTTCTCCTTGATTGTCCACTCACACCCAGGTGAGGTCCCGGAAAAGGGGTTCCTGAGAGTAAACCAAAAATTGGGCTCCACGTTTAGCTGGGGCTCCGATCAAAGGCTCGCCTCGGACCGCAAAAACCAAGGTGAACAGAGTAGTTGTTCAAAACAAGACATGCTTTTCCAACTTGGTATGGTAGCAACAAACTGGCTGCTTTCTGCCCCCCCCCCAAAAAAAAAAATGAAGAGAAGCAAACAAACACAAAAACCCTCCAACAACCCTGAAGCTACCCGGCGACAACTGTTCCGTGTCACCCCCTGCTGGGCGCAGGGCGATACTACTGGAGCCAGTCGCCAGTCCCTTCGCCTGAAAGGCAAGAGGCCAGGAAAGGGGGCAGGTCACTGGCGGAAAGGGGGCAGGTCACTGGCAGTCCAGACCCACGTAAAAAGTGCATCAACTTGTTTGTAGGCACTCCCCAACTCACATGTTCATCAACTTATTTGTAGGCATTCCCCAACTCAAACGTTCATCAACTTGTTTGTAGGCACTCCCCAACTCAAACGTTCATCAACTTACTTGTAGGCACTCCCCAACTCGCAAGTTCATCAACTTATTTGTAAGCACTCCCCAACTGAACAGTTTGTCAACTTAATTTGTAGGTATTCTTTAACTCAAACGTTTAATTTACTTGTAGGCACTCCGTAACTCACAAGTTCATCAACTTAATTGTAGGTATTCTTTAACTCAAACGTTTAATTTGCTTGTAGGCACTCCCCAACTCGCAAGTTCATCAACTTGTTTGTAGGCACTCCCCAACTCAAACGTTCATCAACTTAGTTGGAGGCACTCTCCAACTCAAAAGCGCATCAACTTGCTTGCAGGCACTCCCCAACTGAAAAGTTCATCAACTTATTTGTATAGGCACTCCCCAACTCGCAAGTTCATCAACTTATTTGTAGGCACTCCCCAACTGAAAAGTTCATCAACTTATTTGTAAGCACTCCCCAACTGAACAGTTTGTCAACTTAATTTGTAGGTATTCTTTAACTCAAACGTTTAATTTACTTGTAGGCACTCCGTAACTCACAAGTTCATCAACTTAATTGTAGGTATTCTTTAACTCAAACGTTTAATTTGCTTGTAGGCACTCCCCAACTCGCAAGTTCATCAACTTGTTTGTAGGCACTCCCCAACTCAAACGTTCATCAACTTAGTTGGAGGCACTCTCCAACTCAAAAGCGCATCAACTTGCTTGCAGGCACTCCCCAACTGAAAAGTTCATCAACTTATTTGTATAGGCACTCCCCAACTCGCAAGTTCATCAACTTATTTGTAGGCACTCCCCAACTGAAAAGTTCATCAACTTATTTGTAGGCACTCCCCAACTGAAAAGTTCAACCTATTTATAGGCACTCCCAAACTCCCCAACTCAAAAGTTCAACTTATTTGTAGGCACTCCCCAGCTCAAACGTTCTGGTAGGGTGCCCTGAAACAATGACCGTTTTTGGAGATCCCGGGTTGTCCGGTCGGCGAAGCAAAATCTGTAAGACATAATCCTAAAGCTCACAAACGGAAATTTGTTCAAGTAGTTCGGGCTTTCCTTGTCCAGGCTAGCCCTTTAAGCTCACTTTTGGCATGGCTGAGCGGGGCTTGTCATAGCAGCGCCCGCACTAATCATGTTGACCCCGGATTAATAAACCCGTCCTGTTAAGAGCTGGCGTGTTCCTCCAAGAGTGATCCGGCTTCCCACTAAAAGGGGACACTCCCCCTAGTAATCAGCCAGAACCCTAATTACCTATCATCCGGGGTTCATATTACCTTTCAACTTGACCTTATTGTTCAAATGCCATCCACGGACAAACTGTTCTGCCCTGAGAGGCTCCTATGCGTTTCATGGTTCGGGTACGTCAAGATTTAGAGAAAAATGAGGCATAAACCGTTTCCCTCGCACACAGCCATGCCAAAAGGCATCTCCTTTAAGACACACCCAGTGCACGAGGCTTGTCAAGCTAGTTGCAAGCACCTGGGATCAAACAGCAACGCTCGCGTAACGCATTCGATTCGTGACATGCGTAATGGGGAATCCCTTGATTTATAGACCCCTGGTTGATGTTTGTTGGACTCTGTGGCATCCCGATGCTTCAATTGTTTCAAGGCTTATCCAAGATGCTTTCGACAACCAAGCACTGCTTCAATAACTTCGAATTTATTCAGACCATGCACAGCAGAGGAACCCTCAAACCCGACACGGTTCCTTCACACAAACATATTTGTGGTTGACGCACTTGTTTTTTCAGAATCCGAAGCTTGTATGGTTGGGTCCTTTTTTAGGCACCCCCTCGCAACAGAATGGTGCTGTTTCCTGTTGGCTTCCCTTAAAACCCAACCCCCTCACCCCCTTTTTGGTCGGCCCAATTCTGTCCCAGGCGATATCCCTGGAACCCCTCTTTTGAACCTTTGAAAGCCGCCCCAAACCCCAGAGACCCTCAGAGACGTTCTCTCAGGCTCTGGTTCATATGGAGTCAACCTTAACCTATGACATCATGTTGGAGATCCCAGCTTCGGTTTGAAGGACAAGAGCAAAAGCAAGACCTGGCTGATTTCATGTGGCTGGAGTAGCCGCAGCATCCAATTCCATCCGGCGACGCCTCGTTGGCCAAGCCAGCAATCAGCACCAGCAAGAAGGAGAG